AGTCGAACGGCCAAGCGGAACGCTTTGTTGACACTCTCAAGCGGGCACTTCAGAAGTCCAGGGGGGAGGGACCAACGGAAGAGATTTTGCAAAGGTTCCTGCTGGCATATCGAGCGACGCCAAACCCCAACTCACCTGATGGAGTATCACCAGCAGAGGCACTGCTCCGAAGGAGGCTCCGAACACCGCATGACACTATCCGGCCACAAACGAAGCAGGCTGGTCACCGCAACACCAGAATGGAGGAACAGTTCAACCGGCATCATGGAGCAACTGCGCGCGCATTCAGCGAAGGCCAGAGAGTGTTGGTTCGTGACTACAGCGGCAGACGCCCTACGTGGACCCCAGGACTCATCCTTCGCCGGCGCGGCAAAGTGCTCTACGAGATTCAAGTTGGTCCAGCCAAGTGGATACGCCACGCGAACCAGATCCGGCCGACAGATGCGCCGATCCTGCCCACAGGACCGAGTGATATGAGTCTAGAAATGCTTCTGGACACTTTTGATCTCGGCACCATCCCAGGAAGTCAATCAGTTGCTTCGTCAGAGGCCCAGCCTAAGCACGAATTACAACCGCGACGCTGGACAGACAGGATCCGCAAGCCAGTGAGGCCACTGGAAGTGAAATCCCGGCTTCGAAGCTACGTCAACAAACTTCAAGTGGGAGGTGTAAGGCAGGAAGCCACGCGGATCCCACTATACCGCACGTCTTTAAGCGCTGCTACGGCCGAGAAGCCTGGTCCGCTCGAGGTTGGCCCAGAATTCGGGACGCTCGCCGGTCCGGCATCAAGACGAGATCTGATTGGTCAACAACCTGGACCCAACAGCCAATCATGACCCAGTATTGGCCAAATGCCGGTTGTCAATGGCGCATCCAGAACGCATCAGGAATTCCAGAAAGTTATAACCGCTCGCGCCACATATGCAAAGCGCTGTACAACTGTTCTTGACTTCGTTTTGGGCGTTAATAGACCTTGTGCACCTTTGGTGGTTGTTTTTACATGAACGCTAGCATTGGAGGCTCAGACCGAGAAACTAAAGGAAGGAAAATACCGTTACTACAATACTCCAATGACTATTCTTCCTCTGTCTCCTTCAAAAATTATCTTGCTCAGATTGTGAACCATCTCACCCAAGCTGAGGAAAATACCGTTACTACAATACTCCAATGACTATTCTTCCTCTGTCTCCTTCAAAAATTATCTTGCTCAGATTGTGAACCCTTCATCTCACCCAGACTCTCGGCTTATCACTCGTCCGATAATTTGTGAAAACTATGTGGCACCCGTTTTCCGGCCTCTGGCTGCCCTAACACATACCTTGAGCAGCCAAACAACTGCAGATCTATAACCATCCGGAAAAATACAATGATTTGGTCCAAATTAGCATGTAATATTCTTGAAAACCGAGCCCGTTTTTGAAAGATAGTTCCATCAACACAACAATACTTCACATGTGCTCATGTCTAGACCTGCAATGATCTCTCCAAAGGTGAGGAATCTTGCCGTTCATTTATCTGTGGAATCCATTTTGTCAAATTTTCTCCTATTCCGACGGCTCCTATGGTTTCCCTACGTTCTTCGTCGACCCAAATTTTGCTCTTATTTGTCAGCTGTTTCGAGCGTTCCGTTTGGCCGCTATCCATCCCAGTGTTGCGCAGTCGGCCTGGTTGATGCTTGATATCCATGCGGCTGATTGACTGGATCAGAGGTGAACGTAATTCAGCACAGTCCAACTGTCTTTGAATCGACTTCGTAGCTGCAAAAATGTGCACGCTGTTTTCGCGATCCCCAAGCGTGAAGCATGATACGAACTGTCCAGAAGCCGAAGAATGACAGCGCAGGAGATCGGAACACTCCCATACCCAGTCAGACGGCACATTCATAGCTACCATTTTCGTATTATTGACTCAGCCTTTCGTCACCTTAGCCTTCAACCCGCAACTACGAATAAATCGCTAACAGCCATTCAACCGCTTATTGTCCTGGTCTACTAGATTTAAGTTCAAATTTAGTTCTATCGGCCTGCGGATTGTATGGTCTACAACTTCGCTATTTTTCATCCCCACGTTTGACCGCTCCCTTTCACTGCTAACACAACCCTCCCAGAAACTTTTGTCTGTGGTTTTTGTGAAAAATTGGAAAACAAGATTCACCATTCGTGGCGTGTAAAGGTTGCTGTTTCTTCTTGCCGTAAATACCTTCATTTGGCCATCTACACACATGTCGCACGTGCCAAGGCCATTAACTCAGCTGTTTGAGGTTGACTGTCCTCAACAGCGGCCGTTTTGTTCGCGCTGGAGGAATTTCGATAGCCGAAACCAGCGGGCTTAACTAATTTCTTTATTTTGCCGCTAGATATTTGCAATTTGTACTTTGTTGCCACAATAATGATACATTCTTGTCTGCTTGGTGTACGCACGTGTCATGCTGTCCGCCGTTTCTTAACTAGAACGTCCTAACCATCCTCCAAGAATCCTACTATCAACAACCTCGAAATAGTTTGAAAAGAATAACCAAACTAATGGCTCTCTTTGAGGGACCGTAGTTTGAGGTTTCTATGGTTATAAATGCCGCCGAGCAAAAACATGGAAGTCAATGTAGAGTGCACTGCGTAATAGCGGGCGGAATTTGCCCAAGAGGCGGTAGCGCACCTGAAATGATGAGTTGCGTTAAGGATACTGAGCCAAAAAGCGTGGCAACTAGGCTATGGAACTATGGACGCGTCATCATGAAGGACGTGACCGTATGCTCAAACTCACTACGATTATCAATTCCTGATTTTTAACCCCTGACACACGCCAGGACCAAAGTTTAGGCGAAAGTTCCAAACTGTGGTAGCCGAAAGCCCTCCAGGCATGTCATAAGCGCACCCAAGTAGGTCATTACAACGATTCTTAGTCAAGTCGCCACGGAATCAGTGACACCTCGTGAGATTGACAATGAGGCGCTCACACCAATGGAAAAAACATGTTACCTAGCATCCAGTCAAAATGAAAAATACCGAACAAACCCCTCTTAAAAGCCGCAGCTTTAAACAGCGGGTTGAGGAAAGGAACAAGTCAGCTTGGCAAGAGGGCAAGCTGAGCGCAGAACTTGTGCTACGGGATGCCTCGTTGCGTATACAGAAAGAGTGCCTTTTGTCCCACTTAAAGTACCAATATAGGTTAACTTAAATGACCAACCTAGGACGCTATAGGTGATGGCCCGAAATTGCAGAAGGAAGGGCGCCTGCACAAAAGCTGAATTAAATGGCGGCACTTGAAAACACGCTCAATCTAGCACGAGAAGTCACCTGCAATCAAAACAAGAAGGTCAACGGGGAAAAGTGAGAAGAAAGTCTAATTTGCGCACAAACCAAGACCTTTTTTGGCTCTGCGGTTGCCGTCACAGGCAAGAAAGCATGCATCAAAGAGATAATGCTCGAGAAAACAGAAGACTTGAAACACCGTAGCTCCGGCAGACGCTGAAAACCAGTACCCACTGGATTGGCGCCTTCCTCTGAATGACAAAAATTGCGTCCACACCTATTTTGGAGGAGACTTGGCGAATGTCTTTAAAATGCATCGTGAGAATAAGCTAGAAGACATAACGAGGAATGATGCCAAAAAGAATTTGGGAATCTGGCTCTCTTCAAACATCCTCCTCATTTCAGCATAAAATATAGGCTTTAAAGGCAGTCCTCATTATACGGATGATCCGGCGCGCCTTCACCCGTATTGTTTTAATAAACTTCTAGAAACTGTGCAGAGCTTAGGTCGGACCCCTTCATGAAAACTCCAACTGTGTTGGCTACTCAGAATGCGAGAAAGATGTAACTCCCACTGAGCGGGTCCAAAGAGCTGCCACGAAAGTGGCTGCCGGCCTCGAATCCATTGAAAATGAAACTCGTCTTGCCGGGCCAGACCTATTTCTCTGAAAATTCGCCACATACGACAAGACCCATTAGTTACTTACACCCTGTTTAAACAAGGTGTGACTAACAGATTTACATCGTTGGCTAATACCCGGGATGAACATTGTAAGGGGACGTTCGAGTTCAGAGCGTGCCTTTATATTAAACAAAACTACTCCTCATTTCGGATAATTAGGGCATGGGATAGACTTTCTCTGACATTTGTTCACGCTGCATGTGATGCCAGGTTCAAGGCACGTTTAGACGTCTCTTATGTGAGTCCTGGAGCTGGCTAAAGCTACGCTGTGAACCTAAAAAACAGTGCTGCACCCTTTTATCGCTGAACGACAAGAACAAACTCGACCCGGGATGCTCAGGCCGAAGCTTTGATCCTGCGTATTAATTATTGAATCCACACCGTCTCCTGTTATTGATATGAGATGTCATCTTTGCGACGTCCAAACTATCTTATAAACACTATGAATCGCATCTTGCATAACATGGTGAAGACCGTGGCCCCGTCATTCAGCTAGCTGAACACAAATTTTGATCCATCCCATTGGCAACGGTGTATGGGTTCGCTTCGCGTGATAATTTATTCTTGTTTTGCCCAACCAAGCTTGATATTGGGAGTGGCACACTAAAAGACGTACTAACCAGATGTTTGGCATTTCACGTGGTTTGCCAAGATGAACCACCGGGGGAACTTCCACAATCTGTAGGAAATATCTGTTCATTTCCCTCAGTGGAAACGATACCTCTCCGAAGGCAATCAATACGGAATCATTCATATCGGCTTCATGGAGTATAGGAGGCCGTTCACCTGAACATGATGTAGCTGATTTAGGTAACGAGAGTCTCACCGCATGGCCCTATTAAGAACGCTACAAATCTTCGAACTGACCTTTGGATCGAAGATTCGCACGTGGGGTCGCAGTGTAGCGGCCCGCGCTAAGACTTCCATAGAATAACATGTAAGGCTGAGCAAAGAAAGCAAAAAACGAAAATGGTTGAAACAAATGAATAGTCCACTGGTCCTGATTTCATCGTAGAAGCCTAGAGAATGAACTAAGGTTGACTCTTTAAGTGTGGTAGTTTCGACCTCTAACAGGTTGTAGCAGCACGCACGCATTTAATCCAATGAAAAGTTTGTCCTCGTGTACACAGTTTTCGAGGCTTGTGCTGTTTCATTATAAGGCACAAACCAAGGCGAACATTTGTTATGCTGGACACTCGTGGAGCTACATGGAAAAACACACGGAGGAGATCAAGAGCGGATAACGTTTCTGCGCCGAGTGCAACCTCGTGGAAAATATATTATGAGATAGACCGTGAGCCTATCGGAAGGTGAATCTTCCGTCTTGAATCACATCTTCTTTCTGATATTTCAGGGGGTACGCTGGTAAGGTGTACAAAATAACGAAGATTAATGGACCGTCGCAGAATAATGAGCAGCTCAATATTAATGCGACTGGTGCAGAATATCCCGCAAGTGGCTCGACAGTATCGTACGCATGCAAAGCAATAAGACGTTGGCGAGCTGGGAGAGATACGATCTCAAAAATTAGGAGGGAGATTTTCGCGCTTTGCCGGCTCCAGAGTCACCATCATTTCTCTCCTGAGCATCTGAGTTTATCATGCATCGATATGGGCGAACTAAAGAACTATTCTAATTTCGACTCACTATCAATGGTACCAACACCGCCCTCTTCTGCTTCACCACGAATATTGGCTATTCATGAGGATCCTATGGAAGTAGCGATTGTGATGGAATAGTAAGTCGCCTTTGCACTGTTTCAACAATTTCCTGCAGCCACTTTGCCCACGGGGCCCATGGAAGCAGGAGAAAATAAGACCATAACGTTTGTCTTGAAGTTGCCTGTGACTCAATTATTTATCGGAGTAGAAAGGGATGTATAATGCAGGACTTTCACAACTTTATTCGGGTTACTGTGTACTGAGGAAGTGAATGACGAACGAAACGATCAGTCTGGAGTTGGACAAATCAGAAAACCCGTAAATGAATCTGTTCTGGTTCCAGTCACCTGTGAGTAAGAATAGCGGGTGATGGGCTTTTGTCAGTTGTGTCGAAATCTGACGCCTTTCGCCGTCAAATCATATCGAGTAGAAGGGGGAGTGCAGATAAAAACCGTCAAGCGTCTGGTCAATTTTCAGGTTAAAAATTTCCACCATATACGTATATTTGCTCACTTACGCCACAGCGATGCAAGCCGGTGGTTGGTTCCGCAGGTTGGCTTCTTGACCTAAATGCAGCGCCTTTCGAGATTCTTTTTGGCCGATGTTTCTCAAGCCTTCACCGTGTCCCGTGGCTTGTCTTATCTGTGCAGGTGAGAAGAGCCTTGTTTAGCTTTCAAACCCTGGCTTTCGTGCGTGAAACAATCGAGCTTATTTGTTTGAACAAGAGCGAGAACCGCATCATTCAACTTACTACCGTCCTGAAAGTTTAGGACAACATTCACCATTTGTGTATATAAATCAGGTCGTTGAGTGAGTGCAACTAACCACTGGCATTGCCTACATGACAGTGAGTATAGATGGTCCCGTAGATATTACTCTGTGAGATCCGTTGATCTAGAGCCAGTCTTCAGATATATTGCGCGATCTCTACCATAAACGTTAAGGATGCAAGGCTGCAGGTTACAGACTCACTCCGGGCAAAATGATATTTACTCGTGGCATTCTTAAATATTCTGTTACTGTTATTTTTTCAGCATTCCGCTTTCGGTTGATCTCCCTTGTTCTTAAGGTTTTTTCTGTTGTTAGATTGTTCATGAACAGTAGTTATTTGGGACTCAAGTTTTTAGAGGTATTATTCGCAGTATTCCGCAAAAGTACCGGTTGTATGAACACACCGTCAGTGATAAGACTATTGGACAATGTCCGATCTGCTCTATAAACGATGTAGTGATTCAGCACATAGTAAACAGAAGGAGGATATTCCCTATAGCCATCAAGTAAAATGGTATGACCGACGCAAAAAACTGTCTTGCCTAAGTTTATTTGAATAGTATTCAATTGGGTTGTGTCTTTGGCTCTTCTTGCTCACTTTTTCGGGACAAGTATAAAGCGTGTGACACACGATCAGCTGTTTGTGAGCCTGAGGTTTTACTAAGTTGATAGCCTAAACTACGAGGTCTTTAAACACGATAGAAAACAACGGCTCAAAGTTTTGAAGGCACTATGATGTAATAGGAACTACCTCAGGGGCGCGTAACGCTAAAGTGTTGACTACCGCAGCATTTTCATAACTTTTGATGACAGGATTTTTGTAGTTTCACTGCCCGTAAAACGGCGAAAATCTCAGCTCTTAAAGTTAGGTTAAAATGAATGGTACATAATCAGGCTGATGTGCTGGAAATCATGATTACAAGTAAAAGATTCTTCAAGCGCACCGCAAGTCATTTTGTTGTGAGTTGACAAACGTGAGATTGAACAAACAGGAGTTAAAATGACGGAAAGTTTGTAGAGGCGGAAGTCAGGCACAGCTATTTAAAAACCATATTTATCCTCAAGTTCAGCTTGAAAAACGAGAGTAAAACAACAAAACACTCGCCTGTAGGAACTAAGCGATATAAAACTTACTCTGTTCAAACTCGAGTTGGGTTTGGCGGCTTAGTTTATTTAAAGATGCAAGTGTAGTGGTCTGGCTACCCAATAAGTCAGTTTACCAGGAGTGTGTGGCAAAGTAATAAAAATAATTACGCTAAGTTGGGTATACAAAAATAAATAGGTCAGATGGAACAGACTCACTAACAATTGTTCTCTTTAAAATAGTTCGTCGTTGGCCCAGGTCAGCGAATAAACAATAATCCAATAGTGTTGGTCCAGAGGTCTTCTTCTGAACAGTTT